GGTGAGGTGGATAGTGCTCTCGTTATCACACCACAGAGTCGGGGTCTGCTGAGGATACCCGAGCTCAGCCATGAGGTAGGTAAGCCATCGAGCTTCTTGGGCTGCCATGGTGCCTGCGTATAACTCAGCTTCGCAAGATGACAATGAGACGGATGATGAGCGTGTAGATCGCCAGCTGATGACACCACTGCCAAGGGTGAAGCAATAGCCTTGGGAAGAGCGGCGGTCAGCTTGATCATCAGCCCATGAGGAGTCGCTGTATCCCTCGAGGTGAGGAGGGGTCGTGCCACCGAGAGTGAGGACGTAGTCCTTGGTGGCTTGGAGGTAGCGAAGGACGCGCTTAGCAGCCGACCAGTGGCGATTGGTGTATTCGACCGGCAGCAACGTAACGCGAGAGCACACTGATGGGGTAGGCGAGGTCGGGCCTTGTGCACATCATCGCATACATGAGTGATCCGACGAGCTCGGGGTATGCCTCATCACAAGGCTCAGGCGATGGAACTGATGGAGTGGTCAGATCATGCTGCAAGGGAAGGGGAGTGGCCACTGGCTTGGCGTTGTCCATGGCAAAACGCTTGAGGACGTTGTTCACATAGAACTCTTGAGAGAGAGTGATGGTTCGAGCTTCGCGATCCCGCGAGATTTCCATCCCAAGGTAGTTCTTGAGTTCACCGAGGTCCTTCATGGCGAGAGCGTCCCCAAGAGCTTGCTTAACAGCTGCCAGCTGATCGGAGTCCTTGGAGACGAGAATCATGTCGTCAACGTAGACAAGGATGAAGAACGGGTTGTCGTTCTTGCGAATGAAGAGACTCGGATCGGCTGAGGAGGGGTGGAAGTCGAGTGACTCGAGGGTTGCCTTCAGCTTCTTGTGCCATTCCCGAGGAGCCTGCTTCAACCCGTAGACTGGTCGATTCAGCTTCCAGACCGTGCCGGGTGGAAAGGGTAAGGGAAATCCTTGAGGACGTTCCATGTAGATGTCCTCGGGGAGATCCCCTTGGAGAAATGCAGCAGAGACGTCCATGGAGTGAACGTCAAAGTTGCATCGAGCAGCGATGTCCAGCAGAGTCCGAAGTGTGGGCAGTTTGGCTGTCGGAGAGAATGTGTCGAAGAAGTCCAGGCCCTTCTTCTGCGTGAAGCCTTTTGCACAGTATCGCGCCTTGAAGACTGGGAGTTCGCCAGGCAGCTGCTTGACGCGAAAAACCCATTTGCCACGGACAATGTTAACTCCTCGCGGAGGAGAGACGTCCGTGAAAGAGTTGTTGCGAATGAATGCTTCACACTCCGCGATCATGGCTGCGAGCCACTGGGGGGAGTGTGGTCCAGAGATGGCTTCATCATATGAGTTCGGGGTCGGGATGGATGGATTTTCCGAGAAGTTAAGAGTTGGAGCGTCGGCAAGGTCGGGGAAGAGATGGCAGAGCTGACGGATGGCAGCATTGATCTCAATCAGCTCCTCATGCCTATCCTCCAAGAGGCCAGGCATGGATGCACCCCCGGCAGGAGGAGGCGGATTGAGGGAGATGCGAACAGAGAGGGCGAGAGGCGGAGCGGGACCATGAGAGCGGGTGCGGTGAGCAATAGGGACAGGAGAGGAGGGAGGTGGCGGGGGAGCAGGTGGGACATCGACATAAGAGCGTCCGTGGCGACGGCGACGATAGGTGATGGGCGAGTCGGGAGGAGAGGTGGAGGTTGGAGGCGGAAACGGAGGTGAAGGCGGGGAGGGAGTCGCGGGGGCAGGGGGAGCCACAGAAGGAGAGGGAGGTGGAGGGGCAGCTGCAGGAGCGGATGCAGGGGGAAGTGCAGGCGCGGGCGGAGGTGAACGGGCAACTGTGCCAGTGGGCGAAGAGGGGTGAGAGAGAGTGGAAGGAGATGGGAAGGTGAGAGTGAGGGGGCCGCAGGAGCGGCAGAGGGAGGAGGTGGGGTGGGTGAAGTATCGAAATCGGCCCACACAAGCGAAGGTGGAGCGGTGGGGGGTGGTGAAGAGAGGTAAAAAGGGCGACTCTCGTCAAAGGCGACATCGCGGCTACGAATGAGCTGATTGGTGGAGAGATTGAGGAAAAGGTAATCGGGAGAGTCCAGGTTGTGGCCGAGGTAGACACAGGGTTGAGCTTTGGGTGCAAATTTGCCGCCGTGGGTGCGACGTTCCTGAGGGTTGAGGAGGACATAAGCTGTACACCCCCATACGCGGAGAGAACGTGCACTGGGCTTGGTGCCGGTCCACAGTTCAGCGGGAGTGATGGCAGGCCGAAGAGGGTGAGGGTGAAGGTTGTACAGCAGCGTGGCATGAAGGAGGGCGTAACCCCAAAGGGAAGGTGGTGCACCAGCGTGAGTGAGAAGACAGCGAGCGATTTGCACGAGAGTGCGATTGCGACTTTCGGCAATGCCATTCTGCTGCGGACTGTGGGGAAGGGTGAAGGTCTGGCGAATGCCTTGGGAGGCACAGAACGCTTGAAGGGAATGGTTTCGAAATTCGCCACCGCCATCGGAATGGAGGCACTTGACTGAAGTGCGGAAATGATTTTGGGCTTGTCGAAGCCATGCGATGACGACATCTGGAACAGCTGCTTTGGAGGAGAGTAGGTGGACGGAGGCATAGCGAGAGTGATCGTCAACGAGCACTAGGAAGTAAGAGTGCCCGCCACGAGAGCGGACTGGAGCTGGGCCCCAGACGTCCATGTGGACGAGGTCAAGCGGGGCGGCTGCAGCAGAGGGCGAGGAAGGGTGAGGCAACTGGCGTAGTTTGCTTTGCGCGCAGTCCAAGCATGGAGGAGCGGGAGAAGTGGAGGGTGGAGGAAGTGTGTCGGGCAGGTGAAGAAGCAACTTCTTAGACGCAAGCTCGGAGAGCATGCGGAAGTTGGGATGCCCAAGACGATGGTGGTAAAGAATGGTTGGATCGGTGAGCTGACGGCAGGAGCACGATGATGTGGTGGAGGTAGAGTGTGCTTCAGTGGAAGATGGAGGTACTTGGAGTGTGTAGAGGTTGTTGGCGATCAGTGTGAAGCGTGCAAGTAGGGCATTGGTGGTGGGCTGAAGGAGATCACAGTGATTGGAATGAGCTGGGAAGATAGTGGTTACCCCTGCTCGTTGAATCTCATGTTGTGCAAGTAAGTTGTGCCGAAGAGTGGGCACGCATATGCCAGTGACTGTGCCAGATGGGAAGGCTGGGCATGGAAGAGTGGAGGAACCATGGGCGACAGTTGTGAAGCTGGAGTCAGCGCCCAGAAGAGGAAATGGGTGCTTGGTATGGTTTGAAAGACTCTTTGTCTCGGAGGACTGTGTGGGTTGCGCCACTGTCCAGGACGAATTCAAGCGGTTTAGATGGTGTTTGTGGAGACGTCGAGTACTGGGAACTGGTTTCATTGATCATGGGAAGGCCAGGGAACAACAGGTTGAGACGAACATCAGGACTAGGGGCATGAACGGCTGAGTCCTGACTATCCTGTGCCTCAACCTGGTTGAGCTGGCGCATGCCGAAGCCAGTTGGGCGGCTTGGAGTTGATACCATTCTTGGGCGAACCAGTCGTCGTCCTTCTTTTTGAAACAGGTGGCGAGCGGGTGATTGGTGCCGCCGCACACCTGACCCGCACGGGGTCCCATTTTGATGACGTAAGGACAGGGTGGGTAGCGGTTACGAGTGGGTGGCGGATTGGGACGCGATGCTGGAGCCGGGACAGGAGCGCGAAGCGCATTTGCACGAGCCTGCGCAGTGTTGTCTTTTTCAGCAGAGAGAAGTGCGGAAGAGACTTTGGCAAAGGTTAGCTCTTCTGGCGGGAGATGGAGAAGCATGGAGCGGGTGACATTGTAAGAGGGGGTCAGGCCCAACAAGCAGAGCTGCTGCAGGGGCTTGCTCTGGGAAGACAATGCCGAGTTGCTTCAGCTCCTGATGAATCCCTTGAATTTCAGCGACGTAATCTGCCATTCCAGGGCACTCCTCCAGACGCACTTGAAACATGCGGGGGATGAGGATCGCCACCCCCACAGCGGTTTTGTTGAGGAAGCGGTCGTTGAGGTACTCCCAGATGGCGTGCGCGGAGGGGTAGTTATGGTAAATTTTGACGAGCTCGGAAGGGGTAGTGCCGACGAAGACGCCAATGATAGCGGCGTCGGCTTGCTCCCGCACGCTGTAAGATTCCTCATACTTGGACATGGATTCCTCATGGGTTTTTAACTCTTCCCCTGTGGCTGTGGCCGAGAGCTTCTTGGGAAGGATCGGCATCTTTCCTTTGCCGCGATTGAGGAGGACATCCTTGAGGCAAATCCCCTCAATTTTGCGGCTTAGGAGATGCTTATCAACCCCATAGCTCCACTCCTTGAAGTTAGGGCTTGAGCCATTTGGGTCGAGGCGCAAGGGAGTGATCGGGTTTGAGAGAGACGCGGAAGGATACGCCATGATGCTCCAAGGACCCTTTCTCCGCGCGTAGCGCAGCTCTTAAGTCGCCGATAGGCACTTCGGCGACTTAAGAGAGCTGCGCGCAGCGCGGGCTCCGCGAAAAACAGGGTTTCCCTTTGCGGATTTTCAACACTCGGAGAAGAGGAATAGCCGATAAAGAGGGAAATCTGAACGCCAAAAATCTATGGAAACCCGCGATGTGCTGCTGCAATCCCGCTGCTCCGCGACCCCCCCTTTTCCGCTTCGCCGCTGCCCCCTTTCCGCTTCGCCGCTGCCCCCTTTCCGCTTCGCCGCTGCCCCCTTTCCGCTTCGCCGCTGCCCCCTTTCCGCTTCGCCGCTGCACCCCCCCGCTGTTGCAAGGGCGACGGGCGACAGCCCGTCCAGCTTCGACGAGCAGATGTGGGGCGACGGGCTCAGCCCGATCAGGTGCGACGAGCAGATGCAGGGCGACGGGCTCAGCCCGATCAGGTGCGACGAGCAGATGCGGGGCGACGGGCTCAGCCCGATCAGGTGCGACGAGCAGATGCGGGGCGACGGGCTCAGCCCGAAAAGAAGCGCCGCGCTGAGTTGAGGCGACTAGAAAAGCTTTGCGTTGTAAGACGCAAATGCTAGGCTCCAACGGAGCGAGAGGATCAAGAGCCGCTTAGGCGGAAACGAGCTCTGATACCATATCAGAAACTGAGAACTTGATTGATTGAAATGAGCAAGAGCATACATCCTTAAGTACCGAGCATCGGAGAGGATGGGGAAGGGATAAGGGAGAATCGGAGGGAATCCCAAGGGAATCCTCCCAAATCGTGGGGATTTGGGATGGATTGGGTTGGGATAGGTTGGGGATGAAAACATAGCTACACCCAACCTAACAAATATGAGTATCCCTAAAACCAACAAAGTGTCAACACACAAAATTGTGCCAACCGAATTGCAGCCTATCTCTAACACTCCCCCCAGTTCTCTCTCGTACACTCGCTCTACACCGCCCACTTACTGCTGCTAGCTTCCTGTAATCCGTCATTGACTTGATCTCGTGCACCACACACTGGGACTGCAACCACGGGGAGAAAATCCACGGGATATATGGGCGCAAGTTCTTTAAGTGCATGAGGAAACGACTCGTTTCCTTTCATAAAGGCACATGGGAGTGGAGGCGTGGGTTCAGAGAGGGCATGGGAACCCAGGGGCACGACTATTGGCGCATCAATTGAGACGCGCAGGGCCACGAACAACAGTGAAGGCCTGGTGGAGGCAAGTGCCACCTGAAGGGAGAGGGAGAGGGTTCTTACCCATAGGGAGGGAGGTGTTACCTGGAGGGATAGAGGTGTTACCTGGAGGGAGAGAGGAGTCACCTGGAGGGAAAGAGGTGTCACCTGGAGGGAGAGAGGTGTCACCTGGAGGGAGAGAGGTGTCACCTGGAGGGAGAGAGGTGTCAACTTGAGGGAAAGAGATGTCACCTGGAGGGAAAGAGGTATCACCTGGAGGGAAAGAGGTGTCACCTGGAGGGAAAGAGGTGTCACCTGGAGGAGGGCGATGAAGGGGAGGAAGAGGTCCCTCTGAAGTCCGTTCTCATACAGCCGCACTGGCGGGCGGTTGGACGTTGAGACGAGCACCTGGGAAACGGGTGTGAGTGTATGGGGGGGAAGATATGAGGCGCAGCACGTAAGTGAGATCCCAAGGATCTCAAAAGCACCTGGGAAACGGGTGTGAGTGTATGGGGGGGAAGATATGAGGCGCAGCACGTAAGTGAGATCCCAAGGATCTCAAAAGCACCTGGGAAACGGGTGTGAGTGCATGGGGAAGATATGAGGCGCCTCTCAGGACTGACTAGCATGGGGAACAGATGTGAATGTACAGCTATGCTGGAAATACGGGCGCGACGGGGCCCAGGGGAGGCGCGACGGGGCCTAGCAGGCGCGACGGGGCCTAGGAAGCGCGAAGGGGCCCAGCGGGCGCGACGGGGCCTAGGAGGGGCGCGACGGGGCCGAACGGGCGCGATGGGGCCCAGAGGGGGGGGACGCGACGGGGCTTAGGAGGCGCGACGATGCCTAGGAGGCACGACGGGGCTCAGCGGGCTCGACGGGGCCCATGGGGGCGCGACGGGGCCTAGGAGGCGCAACGGGGCCCAGCGGCGGCGCGTTAGGGCCTAGGGGTCGCGACGGGACCCAGCGGGCGCGACGGGGCCCAGGGGGAGCGCGACGGGGCCTAGGAGGCGCGACGGGGCCCAGCGGGCACGACGGGGCCCAGGGGGGGCGCGACGGGGCCTAACGAGCGCGACGGGGCCCAGGGGGGCGCGACGGGGCCTAGGGGGCGCGACGGGGCCTAGGAGGCGCGACGGGCGGAAGCGGTAGGCGGGGGGATCCTAACCTAAGCGTGATACCATGTTAACGTAGAAACGAATGATTACTAGAGGTGGAAACCTAGAACAAATACTAGTTGGTTGTACTCACTAGAAGCATACCTCAGTCTAGCCTATAACTTCTACATAGATAATATGTATAAGTTGACAAATAGTAGATACACAAATGGTCGTCACTGTACATTTTACACCCAATAATTCCAAGATGCACATATTTTTATTGCTGCAAGTTGAACCAATTAATGTTGTTGCGGTAACATGTGCTTGTATGCTGCTGCATTGTCTTGCTCATACTCGGTACTCTGCATCTCCATCATCCTAAGCCATCAAGTGCAGTACAAAGCGGGGCAAAAAGGGTCAGAAACAGGAAGAGGTGAGAGAGAAACAGCAGGGGGAAGGGAAGGAGGGGGGGAGGGGGGGGGTGCGGAGGGGAGGAGGGCGAGGGAGAGGGGAGTGCCATGGGAGGGAGTCGATAAAGAGAAGTAGGAGAGACGTGAATGGTGAAACTCATTAACAGATACCGGTGCATCTATAAATGACAATGTTGGGCACAAACACCACAACACACACATAGAAACAGGTTGACACGGTAGCTGACTGACACATAGCTGACACATAGCGGACACATAGCTGACACATAGCTGACACATTATTGAACTGTGATTGGAATCTTGACCACTGCCTCACCTGCTGACCGTACGATCCTTAGCGAATCCCAGCTCATCGTCCACCGCCACATCAGCGTCCTCGGTCTTTGCTGACCTGGCAGCCGTCCTACGTGGCGCGTTTGCGATGGTAACCACGCGCTCAAAGAGCTCAAAGGGCGTGCCCTCTGCAGAGCAGACCAGGCGCGTCTTGTGCTCGTACATCACCTGGCAGGGGATGGGGGTGGATACAATGCACGATACATAATACGTTCTGATGCCTTACACGGTGGGTTAGGTTGGGACACACCACCAAAGAGCTCAACGGGCGAGCCCTCTGCAGAGCAGACCAGGCGCGTCTTGTGCTCGTATACCACCTGGTAGGGAATTGGGGGGGGGGGGGACAACGAAGGCTTTTGAGCATCGTCAGAACTACTTGAGAGCAGGCGAGGGCGCTCTTGTGCTCGTACATCCTGTGGTGGACAGGGGAGGATACTAAGCATGCGACATCGATACCTCTTGACAGCTCACGCGTTGGGACGCACTATCACAGAGGTGAAATGGCGTGCCCTCTGCAGAGCAGACCAGATGGGTCCTGTGCTGGTACATCACCTGACAGGGGATGGGGTGGTGGGGTGGGGTGGGCATATGTTACGGGCAATGTAAGGCTACTGAGCCTCGCCTTACAACTTGAGAGCAAACCAGACGGGCCCTGTGCGAGCATATGTTGCACATGACCTGGCAGGTGATGGCGGTGGGGGGGACAGGAAGGTGAGGCGACATAGGAAAGGAGATCTGGAGCATACCAGGTGGGTCTTGCGCTCGTACATGACTTGGGCAGGGGATTGGGGGAAGAGGGGTGGCTATATAAGACCATTAATTCAGCCTCGTCAGTACAACTTGAGAGCAGACGAGGCGGGTCTTGTGCTCGTACATAACCTGGCAGAGGATGGGGGGTGGGGGATGGGGGTTGGGGAGGGGCATACGTTAGGGAATCAAGCTACAACAGGACAGCTTGAGTGCAGATGAGGAGGGTCTTTTGCTCACATCACCTCGTGGGGGATGGGGATAAGCAGGAGAGCCAGTAAGGGCATTAAGCTACATCAATACCAGGCGGGAAATGTGCTCGCACACGACCTGGTAGGGGATGGGGGGTGGGGAGGGGAGGGGAGGGGAGGGGAGGGGAGGGGGGCAACATAGGAAAGACGATCTGGAGTGTACACGGGAGGGGGTCTTGAGCTCGAACATGAACTGATAGGGGATGGGGGGGGGGAGGGGAGGGGAGGAAGGGGGGAGGGGGGGGGTGGATGGCCTAGAGCCACATATAGAACAAGTCGAATTAACACAAGGCAAATTACCTGGTTTGTGGAAGGGCCCTTACGTGTAAACAAATGATAAGTCAATCTTCCTAACACTCACATCAACTAATATGACAGAAACAAATACGACTTTGCTCGATCCACGGTCGCACCTATTAGGATGCCAATCTCACACTCCTCTGCAACAATCACAGCAATCAAATGGCAAATCCACGTGTGCATACACCCACATTTCGTACAGTCACGCGTACGAGTAAGCTGATAAGAAACAAGTGGCGCTTTTTCCGACTCACATCTATTAACGTAACAAAGCGGTAACCCGCCCCTCTATTGGAAGCCCCAAACGCGGGAATGCCCTCCATGGCCAGAGTGTGGAAGTTCTCTGGAGAAAAGGGGGAGAATGGAGATGAAAAATGGGAATGAACGAGCGAGGAAATGAAGTGAAACAAAGCACTAACCTGCCCCTCTATTGGAGGCCCCGAATGCAGGAATGCCTTCCATGGCCGGAGTGTGGAAGTTCTCTGGAGAAAAGAGAGGAAATGGATTGGCAAGTAATAATTAGTAACCCTAACAGTGAAAATTCCTTTGACATAATTCGAAAAAATCCCCTCCATGGCTGGAGGAGTGTTGGAAGTTTCCGAAGGCAATTAGGAGTGCAAGCAGGCCACAAGAAACAAGAGAGAAATATGTACGTACGCGACACGCCTCGGTAGTAGGATATGCAAAAGTTTTGCACAGTGAAGCTTCTTTTAGTGCAACCTAACCTACTCTGCTATCTATAGACCACCTCTGACACACTGCGGATAGTGGGGGACTTGGCTGAAGGGGAAAGGGGGGGCAAGGAGAGCGGCAAAGAGAAACCTACTGCAGAGGGCGAAGTAATCAGCAGCGCCAAGAGGCACCTCGCAGAGCTCAAAGAACTTGACTGACGCCACTCCCTTGGCTGCTCGTTGGATCTGATGTGAGACAATATGAGGGGAGGGAGGAGAACAGGCATGAGAGGGCAAAAGTTGTTCATTGTATCTGCTCTTTTTGTATATAAAAAGACAGAAAACGAAAGACGAGGTGACTAAGAGTCGACTCAAAAGTCACCTTGGGTGGAATTTGCTCTTTGCACCTGGTCTTTTTTATCCTAAGGAAAGAAAATAAAGGAAAACAAAAAAACAAGCCCCTGAGTTGCCTTCCCCTATGAGCACTTCCACATGTGATTTTTTAGTCGACTAAAAAATCACTTTTTGAGTCGAATCAACGACCAACAAGCCACAGCATAACTCACCCTAAGTTGCCTCCCCCCCTGAGCACTTCCACATCCACTGGAGTCATCACCGTCCTCCCACCATCAGTTTAGACTCTTCTTCTTTCTTTACTTTATTTTCTGAAGAAAGTCTCCCACCAGCGGTTCCACCTTCTCCGCCAGCAGCTCTGCTGCTCCAAAGCTATGAAGAGAGAAGGAGCGACAACATATGCGCATGTATGTGGATTTACATGAATGGACGAGACAGAACTCACCCTGAGTTTCCGTCCCATATTACTTCCACACCCACAGGGCCCATCGCTCCCCCCCCCACCAGCAGTTCAACCTTCTTTGCCAGCAGCTCTGCTGGGCCAAGGCTACCTCGAGCCAGGGAGAGAGCACACACATATTCAGCAGACGACACTCACCCTGAGCTTCCGTCCCATGAGCACTTCCACATCGACAGGGCCCATCGCTGCCCCTCCCACAAGCAGTTGTACTTTCTTCGCCAGCAGCTCCGCTGCCCCAGGGCCTGTGAAGTACCACCCCTGCTCCACCTGCAGGCACGGGACGCAAGCAAGCAAGGAAGGAGGGAGGGAGGGAGGGAGGGAGGGAGGGAGGAGGGAGGGAGGGAGGGAGGGAGGGAGGGAGGGAGGGAGGGAGGGAGGGAGGGAGGGAGGGAGGGAGGGAGGGCGGAGGGAGGAGGGAGGGAAGGAGGGAGGGAGGGAGGGAGGGAGGGAGGGAGGGAGGGAGGGGAGGGAGGGAGGGAGGGAGGGAGGGAGGGAGGGAGGGAGGGAGAGGGAGGGAGGGAGGAGGGAGGGCGGAGGCGGAGGGAGGGAGGGGAGGAGGAGGGAGGGAGGGAGGCAGGGAGGGAGGGAGGGAGGAGGGAGGGGGAGGGAGGGAGGGAGGGGGAGGGAGGAGGGAGGGAGGGAGGGGGGGGGGGGGAGGGAGGGAGGAGGGAGGGAGGGAGGAGGGAGGAGGAGGGAGGGAGGGAGGGAGGGCGGAGGGAGGAGGGAGGGAGGAGGGAGGGAGGGAGGGAGGGAGGGGGAGGGAGGGAGGGAGGGAGGGAGGGAGGGAGGGAAGGGGAGGGACGAAACGCATCATGGATATGCGGCACTGTCTCCATCCCTCGCACCACCAGTGCTAGGGTGGGACGGGCGGGAGGGTGAGCAATAAGGTGTGTAACACTGTTCTGCAGTGAACTGGGACTGCCACAGGAGCATGGGGTGGCTCCGTGCAGAGGTCTGTGTGTGTGTGTGTGTGTGTGTGTGTGTGTGTGTGTGTGTGTGCGCATGTGCATGCGTTTGTGTGTGTGTGGGTGTGCGTGTGTGTGTGTGTGTTTGTGTGTGTGTGTGCATGTGCATGCGTTTGTGTGTGTGTGGGTGTGCGTGTGTGTGCATGTGTGTGTGTGTGTTTGTGTGTGTGTGTGCATGTGTGTGTGTGTGTTTGTGCGTGTGTGTGCATGCGTGTGCGTGTGTTTGTCTGTGTGTATCGCTCACATATTCAGCAAAGATCGCCCACGGCTGCCTGCTTCCTGTAAACAAAGATTGACTTGATCACATGCACCACAAACTGGGATGGCACAATTGTGACTTTTGAGTCGACTCAAAAGTCACCTCATTGACGCGAAGACTGCACCAACACTACAACGCACTCCCTATCAGAAACTGAGAACTTGATTGATTGAAATGAGCAAGAGCATACATCCTTAAGTACCGAGCATCGGAGAGGATGGGAAGGGATAAGGGAGAATCGGAGGGAATCCCAAGGGAATCCTCCCAAATCGTGGGGATTTGGGATGGATTGGGTTGGGATAGGTTGGGGATGAAAACATAGCTACACCCAACCTAACAAATATGAGTATCCCTAAAACCAACAAAGTGTCAACACACAAAATTGTGCCAACCGAATTGCAGCCTATCTCTAACACACCCCCTAGGCTGCAACGTCGGATGGCAAGTCTACGTTGAAGCCGTAGGGACGCCAAGTCCCATGGTACGGAGGAGACGATAGTGATCACGGCGTCCAAGAGCTTTCGTAAACAAGTCGGCTAGGTTGCAGTCAGAGGAAATATGCTTGACGCACAACTGCCCTCGCTGGACGAGCTCGCGCATGAAGAAGTGTCTCAATTCGATGTGCTTGGTTCGTTGGTGGAAGACAGGATCTTTGGTGAGGTGGATAGTGCTCTCGTTATCACACCACAGAGTCGGGGTCTGCTGAGGATACCCGAGCTCAGCCATGAGGTAGGTAAGCCATCGAGCTTCTTGGGCTGCCATGGTGCCTGCGTATAACTCAGCTTCGCAAGATGACAATGAGACGGATGATGAGCGTGTAGATCGCCAGCTGATGACACCACTGCCAAGGGTGAAGCAATAGCCTTGGGAAGAGCGGCGGTCAGCTTGATCATCAGCCCATGAGGAGTCGCTGTATCCCTCGAGGTGAGGAGGGGTCGTGCCACCGAGAGTGAGGACGTAGTCCTTGGTGGCTTGGAGGTAGCGAAGGACGCGCTTAGCAGCCGACCAGTGGCGATTGGTGTATCGACCGGCAGCAACGTAACGCG